GTGTGTGTGTGTGTGTGTGTGTGTGTGTGTGTGTGTGTGTGTGTGTGTGTGTGTGTGTAGGCTGAGAGCTGGAGTACTCTGAGGAGAGCGCCTGCAGCTGCAGCCTTTAGCACAAAATCCGGGGGTTCCAAGAAGTCGACAAAAAAGAAAAACTCAGGTAGGATTCAGATAGACACTGTCACAACATGTGGCCGAGCCTTAAGCGGCTCTTGTAGGTTGAAACCTTTGATCCTGGTTGAGGCATTTGGTGTTCAACTTTGCCTTTTTTCTTCTCAGTAATGGCACAGAGGACATAGATAACTGTTTGACTAAATGATGTTCTTTAGTGAGCCCTGACAGACTCAACAAAGTATTTTGTTAAAAGTCCAACATAGGTTATTGTGACAGAGGAGATATCTTCCACTGCCCTCTGACCACATTAAACAACAGTTTTAGAGGTCAGACCCAGATATACTCCATCTCATCATTAAGTAAAAAGTGGAGGCTGTGAATACTACTCGGTAACCAAAACGGATAAGAACAGAGTCCAGTGTAACAAAAAAAAGAAGGGTTTTAGCTTTTGTGTTAGACATTATTGAGTTTGTGGCACTGCTGGGGAGACTGAAGGTCAGGAGTGGGATTCCAGGCCACATGGCTCATGGTATGGCTTCAGGTTAGGAGATCAGTAGTGTAAATACAAAGCATATTTACCTGTTTCTACTACAACCATATGCTTGAGCAAACGTGAACATGAACTTGCAGGATTTAGCATATATGGCGGTTTTTTGAAAATGCTCAGTTTGCGAGGTGGAAAGCATTGATTTCTGATTAAAGAAACTGTGCTCTGTTACAATTCATTTTGATGAATAAGGAAATCTACTTTAGAGGGCCTTTGTCTTGTTAAAAATATTTATTTAATTGAAATGGTGCCAGGGAGTTGACAATAAACATGCAATATGCAGATTTGGTCAAACCATCCGGCCAACAGTGAAGCTATACTCAAAAACAAAAAATCAACAAAATCCTCTTCTGCGCTCTACAGCCTGTACTTCAGTCTCCATGCCTCAAGATATGAAGCCACATCAAGATGTTCTAATTTTGACCACTGTTTGGGCCCTGTTTCCACATCAGAGGATATCGAGGTTGCATTCACCCTTTAACTGTCACCGAGCAATTTACACACATTTACATTTACCTTTTTGAATCAATCCGCTATGCTTTCACCACAGTTCATTCATTTACCGCTGGATTTCCTTTTACAGGGTTTGACAATTCATTCACTTACTAACTAATGCTATAACGTTATTTTTTTTGATTTAATATACTCAATGTATCTTTTTTTATAAAGTTGTTATGATCAAGTTTATATTTGTTCTTTTAATGTCAAGAGTTTTTCCTGAAGCTGTTATTTTCCTTTGCTTTATTGCTTTGGCTAAGTCACAAGCAACCTTGATGTTCAACTTTCCAGTATAGTGATTGTATTTTGATAAATGTGGGTTAATGGTGGTCCTCTTTTCATTTAACTCTATACACATGTAAAAAAGAAAATAATAATAATGCATCTTGTGCTTGCCCTCCTCCTTTGTCCTAGACAAAGACCAGGCTAAAACATTCTTTGATTTAGAGAAACTTGTCCAGCACAAGTCATATGACCTTCCAAAGAAAGAAGTTTCTCCAGCAGCAGCTGTTGCAGAAGCTGTTGCTAAAGCAGCTGCAGGTCCCCCCCCCGCTGCTGCCGCACTTGAGGCTGTGGCAACCACCCCGGTGGTAGAAGCTGCGGCGCCCGTGGTAGAAGCTGCGGCGCCCGTGGTAGAAGCTGCGGCGCCCGTGTTAGAAGCTGCGGTGCCCGTGGTAGAAGCTGCGGCGCCCGTGGTAGAAGCTGCGCCGGTAGTTGAGGCTGTCGCCGAAGCGGCGCCCGTGGTTGAAGCCGTGGTCGAGGCTGTGGTCGAAGCTGTCGCCGAAGCGGTGCCCGTGGTCGAAGCTATCGCCGAAGCGGCGCCCGTGGTTGAAGCCGTGGTCGAAGCTGTCGCCGAAGCGGCGCCCGTGGTCGAAGCTGTCACCGAAGCAAGTCCCGTGGTCGAAGCTGCGCCCATGGTGGAGGCTGTCTCAGAAGTAATTGTAGAGGCTGTGCCAGCGGCTGAAGCTGCCGCCCCAGTGGTTGAAGCTGCTGCAGCAACAGAACCTGCTGCTAAAGTTCCTGTTGAAGCTGCCCCAGTAGAAGCTGCTCCAGGGCCCGTGGCTGAAGCTGCGCCTGTAGAAGCTGAAGCTGCGCCTGTAGAAGCTGAAGCTGCGCCTGTAGAAGCTGAAACTGCCACAGTTGAAGCTGCTCCAGAGCCTGTGGCTAAAGCTGCCCCTGTTGAAGCTGAAGGTTCTGTCCCTGTGGAGGGAACAGAGGAGCTGGTGGACCCGGTTCCAGTCGTAGCTGAAGCTGCAGGAGAGGAGCTGCAGGTGGAGGCCCCAGCTGAACCAGTTGAACCGTTTAAGGGTACACATTACAACCTCCCCCTCTCACAAAATCCTTCTCTTTTCCTCTGTGGACCCTGGAGTCAACCGGCTGTCAGTTTCATCACCATTTCTAGGACTATACAATAGTCGTTTGTGATGAGCGTAAGGATAAACTGTAAAGATACGGGACATCACAAATTCACTTATTTTGTTCTAGCCTAGCACAGGTTGTTCCATATAGTCCTTAGTATTAGTTGATCGATTTTCAGCCCATATCCCTTAAACACTGCCTTCCTGTTTCTCATGTCTTGACTTCTGGGTCATCTTTCATGTAGCTGTAGTTCAACTCCATAGGCGCATTCACACCGCAGTACTTTTCCCACTTTAGTTCATCAGAACTAAAGAGTTCTGATGAACTAAGTACAGATCGCGTTCACACCGGAATAAGTCCCTGGGGGAGGATTAGGCAAATGAAGCCGCTGACGTCACTTCTTCTCTTCGGCTTGGGTTTACTGGCAGGCCGCAAACAACTTCACGGCGTATACTGCCACCCGAAGTCCCCGGCCGGAAGTCCCCGAAGTTGGGGACTAGCTTCAGTAGAAGCTGCTGGGACTCCCGGCAGCTTCTACTGAAGACTTCCGAGTAAATCGCCAGAACGCCGACACCTCTCCTATGTTTTCTTTTGTGTTGCCATAAGTTAGTCTCTCTGCGTTTCTGCGCTGGGCTAATGCTAATAATGCTAATGCGAGAATAATAAAATGGCAGCTTCACAAAACTTTTTGGGAGTTTTACGGGGCGTGGTTTGCAATCCGCCCAGCCAATCAGACATAGGAACCTTTTTCTCCCATGGAAGTCCCTGCTCGCTAGCTGTGACGGAAAAGGGGGTAAAAAAGGTTCCGATTAACTAATTTTTGTTCCGGCTCTTTTTGGTGTTAACGCGACATTTCGGAGCAATATATCGAAACTAAAGTGGGAAAAGTATTGCGGTGTGAACTAGGCATGG